GTCGTAGTACTCTGTGCTCACTCCTCGAAGCACACCTTTTGCAATATCCCCCTTCTGACATTACTGGCAGGTCGGAAGTATTTATCTGTTTTTTGATGCAAAATCTGGCCAGCACGCCATACAGTCACAGGTATGACTGCTTGATATTTTGATGGTTTATTTTTCATTGTAAATGAATACCTTGCACAACAGCTTAGAAAAACACATCTAGCACGTACAGAAAGATAAGCACAAAGATGTTTTCTGCTCCCTACAGATCGTACATGCTGGTATGTGAATCGAAGAGGACAGCATGGATTTTTCTTCCGAAACTGCTTATACATATAGTGAGTCCATGGCTGTCTTAGTTTATTTGAACCTTTAAGGGGTTGAATTTTCCTCCAAACAGTAGGGTGAAGTATGATTTGAAATTTGGTTGGGATCTGTGGCACGTTTCTATATGATTTTCCCCCCGTTCTGTTTCTGTTAGCCCTGTTTTTTGTCTTTTGTGTCGTCAGTTCAGAGTGATAGTGGCTCTCACTTGAAGGCATTTCAGCAATATTTTCTATCACCTGAAAGCTCTCGGACTCTGTGTCTGTCTGTCCACATCCCTTAAAAATAAATGCACCCTCCTCTCCATCTTTAACTACTTCTTTGTTCGGATTGTTTGTGGGCTTGATTTGTGGTTTTTCCTGTGGTTTATTTTCATTTTTGTTTGCTTTCCCCTCCAGTGCAGTTCTAATATTTCTTCTGTTGTATGTCCATATAATGAAAAGCCATTGTCTGTTCTTAGGAGTGTTTTCTCTGAAGATACTGTTAGCTAATCGATGCCATATTTGGGAGTTGTATGTAAGTGTCTGCATGAAGTATGTTTTCAGTTTGGAAAAAGGTTTCAATTATCTCTTTACCTCCAGCAGTGTTCCACAGATCTTTTCGAGAAGCTCCTTTACCTCTTTTAGATTTTGTCATCCTAGAGTGTTGTTTTTCTTTCACTTTTTTTTCTGCATTGGTGTGTCTAGACCCCACTGTGACAGTTAAAATATAGAGGTAGCAGTCAATTAAAAAAATTATAGAAAATTAGCAAAAGCATGCAAGCGTTTGTGTTAATCCATTACAGGTGACAGTCTTACATTAACTGTCACCTGTAATGCTTTAACACAAAACACTTACAGGCCTTTGCTAATTTTCTATCATGAACACCAATTTTCTACCTGAACACCAATGCTGACATCTTGGTGAAAAAACTAGGATTTTGTTGTATTTTAAATTTGTATGACTTTTCAAATGTATATGTGTGTGTGTGTGTGTGTGTGTGTATATATATATATATATGTAATTTTTATGTTTTTATTATTATGTATCTATTCGTTGTTGCCTTTGTATGTGAAAGACTTATGCATTGTGGAGAACTTTTTGTTTTGTTTGACTGCTGACACTGTCCCTGATTGTGTATAACTGTTTTTCTAAATAAACTTTAATTGACACGTGACATTACACTTTTTTTTTTCCAACACTAGTTTAATGTCTTAAAGTTTACAAATGCACACAGAGAATGCTATACATAGTACATGTTTAATTGTATGATTAAAATGTGTTAAACTAGAAGGGCATTGTGGCAAAATGAACAATAAAATATTTCTAATTCATAATAAAAAAACAGAAATATTAAATATATTAAGGTAAATATTTTTCCATTTTCATTTTAACAGTGTCAGGAACATCATGCAAAAGATAAGTTGTAAGAGTAAGTACATAAAATGTATAGAAAATTTCTGTTGTTGCATATTTTTCTAAATACAACTGTATTATACACATCAAACACCGCAGACCTGCGAATTCGAATTACTTTGTCAGGGTCAGTCTCTACACGTTAAATGTGCAATTGAAATTGTAGAGATTTAAAGAAGTTTTTAACTTTTTTATTCTGCCGATAGACTTTGTACCATGGTAACATGGCAATGCCAGTTAATGAACATAGTATAATCACTTTCCAGAACATTCTCGTTCACCACTCCTGGCTGGTGGAACGATCTTCCCACCCCTATCCGGAATGCTGAATCCCTGACAATTTTCAAGCGACAGCTGAAAACTCATCTCTTTCGAAGCTACTTGACTTCATCATAAAAAAAAAAATTTAAAAAAAATTATCTCTCTTTATTTATTCCTTCTCTTTCTTTCTTTGTACTTATTTGAACAATGTCTAAGAACTTGGTATTACAACCA